TAGTTAGTTAGTTAGTCAGTTAGTTAGTTAGTTAGTTAGTTAGTTAGTTAGTTAGTTAGTTAGTTAGTTAGTTAGTTAGTTAGTTAGTTAGTTAGTTAGTTAGTTAGTTAGTTAGTTAGTTAGTTAGTTAGTTAGTTAGTTAGTTAGTTAGTTAGTTAGTTAGTTAGTTAGTTAGTTAGTTAATTAGTTAGTTAGTTAGTTAGTTACTTAGTTAGTTAGTTGGTTACTTAGTTAGTTAGTTAGTTGTTAGGTAGGTAGTAATTAGTTAGTATGTTAGTTAGTTAGTTTGGTAGTTAGCGAGTTAGTTAGTTAGTTTGGTTGTTAGTTAATTAGTTAGTTAGTTAGTTGGCTAGTTAGTTAGTACATTATGTAGTTAGTTTGTTTGTTAGTTTCTTAGTCTGTTAGTTATTTTACAAAGGGGTCAAAGTAATAGACCAGTGATGACACCCCATTGTCAACCTGCTTAACTAGGTACTTGGGAAAGACGACCCTGAATCTTACTAGGGACTGATGGCTGCGTTAACTGATTAACTTACACGTTACTGCTTATAAAGCTTTAAATATTTAACGGCTGTCGATCATTGGAGATACCGAACTACGGCTTAAAGTAAGGATAACCGCTTTGGACTTTTTTCTTAAGAGTGCGGGTGTCTCCTTCACTACAGGAAGATGTAGCACCATTAAAAGTTATTATGCATCAGAGAGAGAGAGAGAGAAACGACTTAAAGCTAAGGATTGAACGATTGACTTAGGACGCATCAGAGGCAAGAAACAAGATCTCTGTTTCACAAATACCTCCGACTACTACTTTCCTCTCAAGGTGTGATTAAATACTAACATCTCAACAGAAAATTTCCAACTGAAGAGAAGAAAAATTGCTGTGTGTTATGGAGAAGGATTTTAAAGTTTAAACCGAGAGTCCTATTTTGAAGCCAGATTCGAATGCTATTACCAACAACTTGTTAAGACCAAAATTAAATTTGTATAATTCAATATTTTCATGTTGATTTGCCATAATGTATGATATTGTGTGACAGTTAAACCTTTCGTAAATTTCATTGGTATTGAACATCCATTAGAAGGTATTTAATGTACAACTTCAAAAATTATTGATTTTGAATCGATCTCGTTATAGTTCTGTTATGATGCAATATTTTGATTCACTTTACTTTCATTTAAATAAAACACATTTTTTTTAATATATTTTTTTTTTTAATTTAAAATTACGTTTATTTTAAAAAGTCAAATATTAAATTGTTTTGGTTTTGTTCAATATTGACTTGTATTCATTCATGATCTTAAAAATATATTATTTAATATAAATACCTTATCAATATGTATGTTTGTATGTGAATTGTTAAATATTAATATTTATGTTAATTTATAAATATATAATTTTTTTTTAAAAACAAATTTTAAAATTTATTTGTGATTTTAAAAGTAGTTGTGTTATTAGATAAACGAAAATATTTTTTTTTTGATCAAGTGGAAAATCACAAAAAGTTTTAAAATGAATTTAAACAAGATATTCTCATTATTTGCACAGAAAAAAAGGAGTTTTAATAGATAAAACACAGTTTTAAAATTGCAATTAGAATTATATTTAGAAAGTGAAGAAAAAAGAGAGGGAAAAAAATTATTAAATAGTTTAACGAATATGTGTGTTTTTGAAAGGGAAATTTAGAAATTTATTTTATTTATATTTAATATTGCAAACTGTCATTTTATAAGGGAAATGATAAAATTATTGAAATTACTTAAGACACACATTTTATTTAGTTTTTTTTTATCATTTTTTATAAAAACTAAAATTGAGAACAATGTTTTATGAAGTTTTTAATAGTAGTAATCTGCTTAAATTTTTTTTTATAAATTACTTCTTTATAATCTCAATAACAAGTTAATAATTGCCAATAAAAATACGAAATAATATTAGATAATAATAATAAAACTATATGAAAATACATATACAATAGAAATGAAAAAAATGAAAACAAAAATAATAAATCACCTCGTTTATGTGTTTTGGCGTGATTTTAATCCATTCCTGATACATGTTGCCTTTAAAAATAATTTCTAGTTTGCTTTTAATAAAAAAAAAAACATTTTCTATATTATGTGTAGATTTTACATAATTCGTTGTTCCACTATTTTTTTTTTTTTTATATTATTATTAATTTAAGAGAGAAAATTTTCTTCAGGTTGTTACAGTTTGTTGTAGAGAAAGTTACCTGTGAGAGGAGTTTGCCTGCCTTTTGGTTTGACATTAACGTTTAGCTGCAGAGTCTGGTTGTTGTTGTTGCTGGTAGTCTTGGTGTCTAGTTCACTTTTTCATGTTTTCCAACTAAAATTACAATAACAGTGTATAAGTATTTTGTATTTTAAAAGAGTTTTTCTTAATAACTTTTAAAATTAATTAAAAATAGTAGTAAAATATTTAATATTAGTGACCTTTTTCTATATAAAAATATTTCAATTTGTATTTATTTAGATTTCATAACCGGTTCCAAAGTGTCATCAAATTAGATAAAAAAAAACTATTGCAAAGATTCGAACTAAAAGTATTGACATAATCCAGACGTACGGTCTTCTAGGTCTAAACCTATTATCCGTATTATAAAAACTTAGGTTAGTTTAATCAGTATCCATTTATCCAAAATAGAAACGTCTAAAAGGGGAGTAATGTCATAATGACGTTCAACTGTATTGCACATAGACGGGTAATGGCAGAGTAGGCTAGACACTTTCCCTTGTCACTTGATTGCTCATGGCTAAACACAGTGTCTTGTACTGATGCATATGAAGAAGAATGGCCCTAATAGCCTCGCATAGGAACAAAATTGACCACATAATGTAGAAGATGGTTTTGTTATACCATATAGTCCTGGATTGCATTGGCATCTTTATTGTTCAGTTCAACAGCTATCCAATTCTAACAATCCACAGGTCATCAATATCACAAAGAAAACGTCTGGCCCAACGAAAATTTTAGTTTACACAATCAATTTAAGAGATTACTAGGCGATTTAAATGTAGCCAAGGAATCCATAGTACGTATTCCCTATTTAGACCATAAGGACCAATGACAAATATGTGGACAATCAGGTCAGAAACCAAGGGGAAATCAACCGAAAATATCAATATCAGAATCTTTTAACAAGAAACCTCAAATCTCTAATTATCTCACTGATAGTAGAAGCTTAACTATCGGCCAGATGCGGTGAACAGCCTTGTAATACCGAAACCTGTAAAGAAGGTGGAGTAATTCCAATTGTCAGGCCCAATGACAAATATGTGGACAATCAGGGCAGAAACCAAGGGGAAATAAACCGAAAATATCAATATCAGAATCTTTTAACAAGAATCTTCAAATCTCTAATTATCTCACTGATAGTAGAAGCTTAACTATCGGCCAGATGCGGTGAGCAGCCTTATAATACCGAAGCCTGTAAAATTGTGAAATCTTAGGGACTCTTTACCACCTACTACAAGAGGAAACGAATATGATGCCATATGAAGAATCATCTCAACTTTAACCTCACACAGCTAGATGTTCCTCCGAGGCATGTCAGGAGGACCTTTGTTTATATGATCTGTTGGATCGATCCTCGTACAGCATTAAACGACATTCATAGTGACGTCATCAATTCCGAGGTGGCAAGAAAGACTAATAATAAACCAGGAAGGAATAAGTAGGAGAGTGAAACCGAATACATATAGAAATTTAAGATGTTCTACTCTTTTGCAGCCCAATTAAGTAATACAATGGGACCAACTTAGATGGACCCAAGTGCTTATGAATCAGCTACTCTCAATACCTATGACTTTCTCATCATACCTATTTATATGTCAATTGAATATTTGATAGATTAAAATATAATTCCCTGTCCATTGTTCGTTTACGATCCACACCTAGAGCGGGCAAAGTATGAATTTCTCATTATACCCATTTAAATGTCAATTGAACATTCTATAGGTCAAAATAAGATGCCCTGACCGTAATTCGTTTACTGTCCCCACCTAGGGCAGGACAATTACATAGAAGATGTGCTATTGTCTCCTCTTCATCTTCATTATGACAGCTCAATTAGCGTTTCAATTAGATAGTTTTAATCTGCTGGAGTAAAGGCCTGTAAAGACGACTAGTTCGGTTCTCGAAAGTTGAGACCTTTCGAGACACTTACTTCACTCTTCAGTGTACTCACAGCTGTCTCCATATTTTTAAATTAGTTCATTTAATGGTAAAACAATATTTCGTAGTTATCATGGTAAACGGTTATGAAATCTTGTAAACATTAATTACTTCGTATTTTGTGCATATTATATTAGTATATGCACTAGTTTTTAAACAAAAAAATATAGAAAAAATATTTATGTATATAATAGTTTGATTAAAAATATATTTATAATTTAAATTATGTTTATTCTATTTTTTTTAATATAGTGTTACCTTTACAAAGCGCTGTCATATCAAATAGAGAGTAGTAGTAGTAGTTCTAATACATTTTCGACAAGTTTAAATATTTTTATCTGTGTGTGTCTGTGTTTATTTTAGCCTCAGAATATAGAATATTATATAACTTTTATACCTAAATAATGTTCACAAAAGATCTGTTGTTTTTGTTAAGCTTGAAAATATTTATTAAAAAAAATACGTTTTTTTAGCAATCAATTACCTTAGAGTATGGCCGGAATGTATATTTAGAAGTGAACGTTTAATTTTAGGTCTTTTGGTTAAAGTGGCAACATTAACGGAGAACATAACGAACGATGAACAAGGTCATCTGTAATCTGTATTCAACAATAATTTAACTGAAAAAATGCAGTTTTTTTCATACATACATAATACATCATATACAGATAAAAATCTATAACTAGAGATTTCTTATGATTTCATATCATTATTATGACTAAAAATACCTGGAGTTTCGTTTTCTTTTTGTGTGGTCAATAACGTGATCATTGGACAGTGTTAGGCTAGTTTGTTTTGTTTTGAGGATAAAAAAAAATTTGGGGATTTGAGGTATGTAGACCTTTAAATATAAAATTTAATTGCAAGAGAAAAAAAACACATGTTAAATAAAGTACCTGGTTTATGAGTGAGCGTTATCTACTGGAAACCAACCAAAATTTATAGCCATATTTTCAGTAACTTTTTTTCTTAAACTTGGCCCTGAGGTGTACTTTAAAATAAGTTTAGAATTTAGTAGCAGCAGTTTTATATAAACTAACAAATTTTATTAATGTTTTAAATTAAATTTTTAATTAGAGGAGAGTACCTGTTGTGATAAAGGACGTCAAAGGCTTAAAGTGTCCCCTTGTGCTTAGAATTATCAGCTGGTAACAATGCAACTTTTATACTTTGTATAAAAGTAGTGTATTTGTGTTTTAATTTTAAATTGTTTAGGCCAACTGCTTGTTTACTTTAAAGATCCAAAGCTTTTTCACTATAATTAATCCACAATTACTCAGTATATATGTAGTTGTAGTACGTTAAAGCAAATTCACACATACAGTTCTTTTAAATTTCTACAAACAATTTGGCTTGTATTTTTTCAACAATCCGTTTTATAGTTTATAAGAATAGTTAAAACATATTTAAATAAATCCTTAAATTTAAAACTACCACACCTAAACATGCACACTATTTTTTTGGTTTTAATAGTTTTACTTGTTTTTTTAATATATTTTCTAACATCAATAGAAAAATCAATGATTGTGTAAAAAAAAAAGAAAAATGAAAAAAACAAGAAATTAATTTGCACTCACCTTGTTTTATGTAGTAAGATCGTTATGACTTTTTCTGTGGTTTAATTTTTTTAAATTGTATTGTTAAAATTGTTTTTTATGATTTTTTTCAAATCATTTAGGTTTTGTTTTTTTTAATAAAGATAAGGGAAGTGTACCTCTAGTTGGTTCTATATGTATATGTTCATAATATGAAGGGAGGAAGGGGGGATCAGCAAGTGTTCCTCTATGCTTTAATAACGACTGCGGCTACGGCTGCGACTATAACGATCACGACTGCTACGATGACTGCGACTACGTGAATGAGAACGGCGGCGATGATGAGATTTATGATGGTCTATAAAATTAAATTATAATGTGAATTTATAGTTGTAATGTGTTATAGAAAGTAGTACTTACGGCGGTGTCTTTCACCGGGATGGTGATGACTGCTACTATGTTCACGGGAACGTCCACGATATTCACGTTCGCGTTCACTGCAAAATAAAGGAAATATAATAATATTTCATTAATTTTCATTTTTTACACGATTTTATTTCAATTCAAGCCTTAATAATCTTCTAGTTTAGTTTTTGTGAAATTCTAGTTCCGTTTTTTTCGAGTTCTCTTAAATTCATGTTTAATTTTAGTATAGTTCTAGTGAGTAATAATTTGGTTCTAGTTCAGCTCTAATTTAGCTCTAGATCAGTTCTAGTTCAGTTCAAGTTCAGTTTTAGTTCTGTTCTAGTTCAGTTATAGTTCAGTTCTAGTTCAGTTCTAGTTCAGTTTTAGTTCAGTTCTAGTTCAGTTCTAGTTCAGTTCTAGTTCAGTTCTAGTTCAGTTCTAGTTCAGTTCTAGTTCAGTTCTAGTTCAGTTCTAGTTCAGTTCTAGTTCAGTTCTAGTTCAGTTCTAGTTCAGTTCTAGTTCAGTTCTAGTTCAGTTCTAGTTCAGTTCTAGTTCAGTTCTAGTTCAGTTCTAGTTCAGTTCTAGTTCAGTTCTAGTTCAGTTCTAGTTCAGTTCTAGTTCAGTTCTAGTTCAGTTCTAGTTCAGTTCTAGTTCAGTTCTAGTTCAGTTCTAGTTCAGTTCTAGTTCAGTTCTAGTTCAGTTCAGTTCAAGTTCAGTTCAAGTTTAGTTCAAGTTCAGTTTAAGTTCAGTTCTAGTTCTAGATCAGTTCTAGTTAAGTTCAGTTCTAGTTCTAGTTCAGTTCAAGTTCAGTTCTAGTTCAGTTCAAGTTCAGTTCTAGTTCAGTTCTAGTTCAGTTCTAGTTCTGTTCTAGTTCAGTTCTAGTTCAGTTCAAGTTCACTTCTAGTTCAGTTCTAGTTCAGTTCTAGTTCAGTTCTAGTTCAGTTCTAGTTCAGTTCTAGTTCAGTTCTAGTTCAGTTCTAGTTCAGTTCTAGATCAGTTCTAGTTCTAGTTCAGTTCTAGTTCAGTTCTAGTTCAGTTCTAGTTCAGTTCTAGTTCAGTTCTAGTTCAGTTCTGGTTCATTTCTAGTTCAGTTCTAGTTCAGTTCTAGTTCAGTTCTAGTTCAGTTCTAGTTCAGTTCTAGTTCTGTTCTAGTTCTGTTCTAGTTCAGTTCTAGTTCAGTTTTGTTTCAGTTCTAGTTCAGTTTTAGTTCAGTTCTAGTTCAGCTCTAGTTCAGTTCTAGTTCAGTTCTAGTTCAGTTCTAGTTCAGTTCTAGTTCAGTTCTAGTTCAGTTCTAGTTCAGTTCTACTTCAGTTCTAGTTCTGTTCTAGTTCTGTTCTAGTTCTGTTCTAGTTCTGTTCTAGTTCTGTTCTAGTTCTGTTCTAGTTCTGTTCTAGTTCTGTTCTAGTTCTGTTCTAGTTCTGTTCTAGTTCTGTTCTAGTTCTGTTCTAGTTCTGTTCTAGTTCTGTTCTAGTTCTGTTCTAGTTCTGTTCTAGTTCTGTTCTAGTTCAGTTCTAGTTCTGTTCTAGTTCTGTTCTAGTTCTGTTCTAGTTCTGTTCTAGTTCTGTTCTAGTTCTGTTCTAGTTCAGTTCTAGTTCAGTTTAAGTTCAGTTCTAGTTCAGTCCAGTTCTAAATATTATCTTTTACAACTTACCGCCTTCGCTCCATATCAAAACTGCGATGTGATGACGATCGTTCATCACGTCTTCTTGAACGATCATCTACTTCACGTTCCTTTTGACGTTGCTCGTGAATCTCCTCGACGGCTTTGCGTAACTTGGAATAACCCAAATGTTGTTTACCCATCAAATGGTCCTCAATACGCTGTTGGGCATCTCCTACAATGAGAAAAGCACCACAAACTTCGCATACCTCCATTTGTTTTTCCGGCATATGACCCATATCTTGCATCCAAGCATTCAATTTCTTGTCTCCCGCCAGACTGGACGCTGTGTCATCATCACTGCGCGGTGATTTACCACCTTCTTCTGTATTGTTCTGTGACGATGGAGAACCTTCAACAATGCCGACCGGCTTTGTTGTTTCAACCGACGAAGGTTTCTCATCTTTATTATTTGACATATTTTCATATTGTGTCACCATATTATCTCTTTCCTCTTTTAGTTGTTCACAGAGTACCATAAGATCTTGGGCCTGATCCACATCACCGCGTGTACCAGCTTCTTCGGCCTCTGCTACCAACTTTTTAATACGGGCATTTAAATTGTTTAATTGTTCACGGTACTTGGACACATGCGACTGGGCTGGCTGGTCCCTTTGCATTAAGGCCAAACGTTGTCTGCCCTTCTGTATTTTACGATCAACATCATTTAACATAGAATTACAAAAATATAAAAATTCATCTTCATATTGCCTTTTGCGCGATGACGGTCTGGCCTCTGCATACTTTTGTTTGGCTTCATCGTCGTGTATACGACCACAAGGTCCTAAATCAGCTCGAGTATTAACAAATAATTCATGCGGACAAAATTTCACTAAATGATATTGACACAACTAGAATATAGAATAAAAACAAGTAATTATAGATTATTTCTTTGACATTTCACAAAATGACCTTGTACTTACATCAGGATCTTCCCAGTTCACCGACTTTAATGTGTATGAAAATAAAAGAAAAAATAAATTAATTTTAGCAAACAAAATTTGTGTGTATAATAATTACTTTGGGAGCTTCCGATGGATGTAAATTTCTGTTTCTACCCATCAATTCGTCTAACATTTGTCGTGCGGCGTCCACCATTTTGTATGTATTTTATTATAAATTCACTATTATTTTATTAAATATTGTTTATTTATTATAAATTAACTGATATTTTGTTTTTTTCTATAAATTTTCTAACAATTTTTTGTTATTTTACACGTTTTTGCCGAATTTTTCTGCCGCTTGTCCTAATCGCCACCGTAGTGAAACTATCCAGAGCCCTGCGCCAACAAATATTAACGACGGCGGCGTCTGACACTAAAAATATAGGCGGCGACTTAAAATCGACTATAAGCCGGCTAAGTTTTCAAATACGTTTAGTTTTTAAATTTTCAACGATTTTAATAAAAACGGAATCCGAGAGATCAAAAAGTGGGGTTTTGGATGCAAATATATTGTTTATAACAAAAAAAAAAAAAAAAATAGAGCAAGCACAAAAGTTGTGTTAGAAATTATGCAGGGATGGATAAAAAATTATTAAAAATTAAAAACAAATCTTTTCACCAAGTTTTATGAGGATCGGCCTACATTTTACCCTAAACCCATAAAAAACATCTTGCAGAAAATCAGTTTCTAAAAAATTTTAAACTCTTTTTCAGTTAAAATATGTTTATTTTTCTGAATTCTACGTTCAAATAAAAATTCGATTTGCAGAACACCAAATTCGGTTTTAAAAGTTTCTCCGTTTTGAAACCGATTCGATTTACAGAACAGTAGGGTGATCGATTATTCGTCATTTTCCAAAAACCGGTTTTCGAATAGTTCGAATAGTTAACAATAGTTTTTCATTATAAATAACAAAATATATTTTAATTTGAAAAAAATCAACGTTTAAATTTAAATTTGATGAATAAAACATATCCCGAACTGATTATAAATACATAATTTACATTATTTTTTTAATGTAAAAAATGGAAAAAAGTGGGACACTTTTGTTAAACATAGCCTATTCTAAAATCCCTGTTTAGACAATTTCCATAGGCATTAAAACAATTCCATAATATTTTATACGCAAATTAATTATTGTAATTGGAATATAATCTTAAGATTGATAAAATTGTATCCAATAAATTTTACAAATTAAATTTTTTAATTAATCAGGAAAATCAAAAAGTTCAACCAAAGGTGCATTAGAGAAATATACTCTATTTCCAGGACTCCAATATTTTTAAAAGATTGGCTGTATTATTATTTACTTCAAAATTTAAGTAATCTTTGAATACAAAGCAAAAAAAAAGTATTCGAAACCGATTTTTAAAAAGTAAAAAAAAATTAACATTTAGAAAAAAATCGACAATGGTAAAGCACAAAAAACCGGTTTTAATGTCAAAAATTACTTTTTGTAGAACGAAAATGTACCAAAAAGTCCTCTTTTATAGGTTCTCACCTAATCCGGGCCCTACATGCTAAACTTCATGTTTCTATGTTCAATATTATAGAAAATTCAAAAAGTACCTTTTGTAGAACGAAAAAGTAACAAAACGTCCCCTTTTATAGGTTCCCACTTAATCCAGGCTCTACATACTGCCGGTCCACACTAGGAAACTATTTTTGAGAAACTTTTGATTTTGCGTGAGAGAGAAAGAAATAACATTCATTTATCTCGCGGTACGGAGTTTCCCGAACTCGGAAACTCGTTTTGTTTTGTTATTCTTCCCATTCGTACAAAAACAAATCAATGCAATTAACACGTAGTTTCTGAAACAAAAGTTTTCACCTATGTGTAGACATTAAGGAAACTTTTAAAAGAGAATTAAGAAAAAGTTTTTCAACTAAAGTTTCTGTGTGTGGACCGGCACATACTTAATTTCATGTTTCTAGGTTCAAAACTACGTTTTGAAGTACGAAAAAGAACCAAAAAGTCCCCTTTTATAGGTTCTCACCTAATCAAGGCCCTACATGCTAAGTTTCATGTTTCTAGGTTCAATATTAAAGAAAATTCAAAAAGTACCTTTTGTAGAACGAAAATGTATCAAAAAGTCCTTTTTTATAGGTTCTCACCTAATCCGGACTCTACAAAATTAATTTCATCTTTCTAGCCAATACTGCTTCTTTCATAACTGTTGTTCTTGCTTTACTTTTTTTTATAAACAAGTAATACAATAACAAAATTTACTTTTTTGTTATGTGTTTTGTTTATTGTTTTTATCTGTACATGAACGAAAAATCTCAATTTTCGATGAAATTTCCAGAGGTAGTTTCAGATTTTTGCTATCTTCCTTATTTATGGGCCGAATTTGCTGATTTTAACTAGCGTTCTATTCGACCGTATGTCTGATAGAATAATTGAAAATTCGGATCTCTCAGATATCTGGAATCTTCTGAAAACTGATTTCAACATACATACGGACAGACAGACGGACAGGGCTAAATCGTCTCCGCTATCTATAAGGATCCAGAATATATATACTTTATAGGGTTGGAAAATTATATTATAAAAATTTCAAACGGAATGACAAACTTATATACATATATCCTTCTTACGAAGGTGAAGGGTATAATAATTAACAAGTAAGAGTGTTTTATTCGGCTATGCCGAATCTTAAATACGCACCATCAAATCATATGTCGTAAAAAAACAAAATTTCGGAAGTGGTCATATACATATATGTATATGTACTTTGATCAATAGGTTAATATGAACGTCAGCGTGATTTTCGGAATAGGAACTTCAATGTGGGATTGGTCAATAATGGACCAAATTCTCCATAATTTAAAGTAATTTCTTTTTTATTCTACAATAATTCATCACAATGATAACTTTTGGAATGATGTATTAGCTATAAATTGATTTTTTGTAAGAAGGTTATATTGCCGGACACATCCTGATAATTTTAGGCTTCATAAATATAGGTTTCAGTTCCTAGCAGCACATTTTGTATCTGTTGAATATAACATCAAATATTTCCCATAGTTCTAACTTTTTTTAATAAATTATTTTTTACGCGTAACACATGCCCTTCGACGATCACGACACATTACATTTCGTTCCACTACTTTGTTCCATAAAGATTTTTTTCTTCCATGGTACATCTACCCCGAAAAATCTGTACAAAAATAATTTATTAAAAAAGTTAAGAACTATAGGAAATATTTGGTGATATATTTTACAGATACCAAATGTGCTAACCTAATGGCCAGCACTGTACATATATTAGGAAACAGACTCAAGTACATCAAGTGAACGGAAGGAATACCTTTTATAAATGATTCATATAGTGTGCCACTCTAAGGGATCTAAAGTCGACATAGTTAGTTAGTTAGTTAGTTTGAAAGAAGGATGTATATACACCAAATCCGAAGAAATACACCTAGGCCTCTATCGGGCCTGTTGTGCGCTCCTTAACCAGTGCCTCAGGTGGGAATCGAACCCACCACCTCCGGTCTACCAGACTAGAACACCAACCACTAACCTACCGGAGGCCGACATAGAAACCACAATGGTTCCGCATCCAAGCATTGCAATTATACAGCAAACACCAATATTTTGCCCAAATAACATCTAAAGAAACCTTGTTGACTACCTATCAAACGATTGGCCGGTCAGTGGTAAACTACGCAGCGCCAGTGTGGACACCTAGAGTTAGCGACACGCAATGGAAGAAGCTTCAAAGCTGTCAAAACGCAGCCCTAAGAACGGTGACAGGCTGCATTCAAATGACATGCGAAGAACATCTGCATGACGAAACGAAGATGCTTTCAGTTAAGGAACATAACATCATGCTGTCAAAGCAGTTCCTACTGGGATGTCATCGGAGGGGCCACCCTAACCACCATTTAACGGAGTTAGAACCCCCCCCCGAGGCATGTCAGGAAAGATCTTCGTATGTATGAGAGTGACATCCAAGAACACCTGGATGATATAGAGGACGAAAGCTCATACAGGACAGCTTTGAATACTATCAATCAACAGGCGGTGGAAGACTCCATCAATTGCCACCGCGATAGTATAATACTGGGAGGTCGTCCACCACCCGTTGCAAACGAGGAACGTTGGATGCGGCTCGTCTACTGGGTTTAGATCTAACGGAGTTGGATAACCAGAGCGAAGAAGAAGAAGAGTAGGGAATAATGTTTAAATATATATACGTGTAATTTCAGGTGTCGCTGCTACAACAACAACAACAACCATGGGTATATGGTAGTGATTCTGCTGAGATCATTGGTATAATAATAAGTATGTATTCTTGTGGTAACCCCTGGATACGGCAATCAGCGTCCGTCCATTGCCTCTAGGTGATAATATACCATGTCACCACTAGCCGAGTTTTATAAATGAGTAGTTGTATAAAAAGGTAAGGACCGTGTCATAAAATATATATACACACTATACTATAGTAGAAACAAAAAGTCGATTTATCGACTAACAATTTCGAAAGTTTTATTTCAACTAAATTCTTGTTATTTTCTGGTGTAGTTCTAGATTTGTTATAGTGTAATTTTAGATTAGTTCAAGTATTGTTTTGTTCTGGTTCAGTTCTAATTAATTTCTAGCTTAGATTTACTCCTGTTCTAGTTATCTTCTAGTTCAATTCTAATTTAATTCAGTTCTAGTTCAATTCTAGTTTAGTTCTAGTTCAGTTTAAGTTGAGTTTAAGTTCAGCTCAAGTTCAATTCTAGTTTATTTCTTTTCTAGTTTACTGCTTGTTTAGTTCTAGTTTAATTCAGTTCAAGTTCTCTTTTGATTCAGTTCTAGTTTAGTTCTACTTCAGTTTTAGTTCAATTCCACTTTAGTTTTAGTTTTCTTTTGATTCAATTCTGGCTTAGTTCTGTTTTAGTTCTCTTTTGATTCAGTTCTACTTTAGTTATACTTCAGTTCTGGTTCCGTTCTAGATCAGTTCTATTTAATTTTTAGCTTAGATCTACTCCTGTTCTAATTATCTTCTAGTTTTGTGCTACATATTTCTGTTTTAGTTAAATTCAAATTTATTTCTATTTCAGTTCTTGTTCAGTTGTAGTTCAGTTCTAGTTTATTTCAATTCTAGTTCAGTTTCAGTTCAGTTCTAGTTTAGTTCCTGTTCAGTTCTAGTTTAGTTCTAGTTCAGTCTTAGTTTAATTCTAGTTCAGTTTTGGTTCAGTTATAGTTTAGTTCTAGTTCAGTTTAAGTTCAGTTTTAGTTTAGTTCTAGTTCAGTTCAATTTTAGTTCTACTACTGTTCTATTTCAGTTTAAGTTCAGTTCTAGTTTAGGACTACTTCTGTTCTAGACAGTTCTAGTTTAGGTCTAGTTTACTTCTAGTTCAGTCAGTTCTAGTTTAGTTTAGTTTAGTTTAGTTCTAGTTCAGTTTTAGTTTAGTACTAGTTCAGTCTTAGTTTAATTCTAGTTCAGTTTTGGTTCAGTTATAGTTTAGTTCTAGTTTAGTTCAGTTCTAGTTCAGTTTTAGTTTAGTTCTAGTTCAGTTCAATTTTAGTTCTACTACTGTTCTATTTCAGTTTAAGTTCAGTTGTAGTTTAGGTCTACTTCTGTTCTAGACAGTTCTAGTTTAAGTCTAGTTTACTTCTAGTTCAGTTCTAGTTTAGTTCTAGTTCAGTTTTTGCTTAGTTCTACTTCAGTTCCAGTTCAGTTGAGTTCCAGTTCTGCTCTAGTTCCGTTCTAGCTCAATTCTAGTTTAGTTCTACAATATAAAAATGACAACAACCAGTTTTTTTGTTGATAACAAATAAAAAACATTATATATCTTTATTTATTTACTTTTAAGAATAATATTATTTTACTTCTTTTTTTAACAAATTTAATTTTAGTTTTTTAATTGTCTAAAATTCCAATTCACTTGAGTTACAATTACGCCTAAAATATATGTAGTTAATATTACTTTACAGACGACTGCAGTCTTTAAAGCTTTCTTGTAATCTTCCCTTATTGTGTGTTGTTGTTCTTGTTCTTTTTATACTTAAATTTTAGATTTAAATTGGATTTAATTTGTATGTTTTGTTTTCTTGTATTTTAAATTAATTTAGTAAAAAAAGAATCTAATATAATTTTATTTTTAAATACATAATAGTACATGTAGTTAATAAATGTTTTTTTTTTTGTTGTAGTTCATTTAGCCATATTTTTGTATATATAATAAGAAATTTTATATTTTTTTAGTTTATCTGCTGAAAATATTTTAAAGTTTGAAATATTCTCAACTTAAGAAAAATCTGACTTAAATACTAAAATGTATAATATTATTTATTTATATAGTTTTATTATTACATTTGTTGGTTTATAATTTCTATAATAATAGTTAATTTCATATTTTTTTTATATAATATTTTTTACAAATTCACAGTTTATATCATAAAAATATCTTAAACTTAGTCTTAAAAGAATTTTAATATTTCGACAATTTGAGCAATTAGCACCGATGTTGCCACAACCATTGACCATCATCATGGGATTTGTAGTTTTAACACTAGAAATCACCATGCAAGTGTTGCTACTACTACTAATATGCCTGGAAGTCGTAGTGGGTGTAAGAGAAGTATTGATGTTGGTGTCCATTTGTTTGGTTATGGTCATGTTATCGATAGTAATTGTTTCATTATTAGCATTATCATAATCTTTATCATCATCATTGTATTGGTTTTGAACTCTTGGAATTCCATGTTTTTTAAATTCATAATAATTATAATCTAGTTGTTGTCTATTATATTGCAATTGCTGTTCTGGTTGATGTTGCTTATCATTTTCACAGTTTATTTTTGTTGCCTTGGCTTTTGTTTTTCTTGCATTATTATTATAATATGTTTTTAAGTTTTTATCCTCCGCTTCTGTTTTCATCATCTTTATCTTCATCATCGACATTTCTGTTTCTATTGTTGCTGGCATTGATGTCTTTTCTCCGACTGACATGTTGGCCATCATCGTTGACGTTAAATGTCTATTGATTAGTGCAATATATCAGACGCATATTGCACATTGCTAGTGGCAGTGTTCAGTGACATCAACAATCACTGACTTTTTCCAGCAGAATAGGAAATAGCCGACACCGGCTCCCAAAACTACCGCTATACAAAGCCAAACATTGTAGGTCATGAAAATCAACATCAACAGGAATGATACAGTGACCTGCACTATATGTAAAAATGTCTGGAAGAAATGATGTAACGAAAACATCGTGGGACTGCAAAGTTTATATAAATCGGAGGTAAGAAGAAAAAATAAAAAAGAAAAATAATATTAATAAAATGAATTTTGTTTAATATAAAGATATTTAAACTTAAATTAATAACTTTAACGTATATGTACAATGGATGAAGGTTTAAGTTTTCTATATCGTGTTAACACGGTAATCGAAAACTTTTCGTCAGGAAATAAAAGATTATCGCAACAACGATCAAATCATATTGGAATTATATATTTAACCAATACTTTTAAAATAAACAGAACTATAATTAAATTCTACCTCAAATCTAGTTTAATTCGTTTCCATTTCAGTTCGAGTTCAGATCAAGTTCATTTCAATTTCTTGCTCAGTTCCAGTTCATTTCTAGTTCAGTTCAATTTTAATTCTAGCTCAGATCTGGTTCAGTTCAAGTTCAATTCTAGTTCATTTATAGTTTACTTCTAATTCAGACCTAGTATAATTCTAGTTCAGTTCTAGTTCAATTCTAGTTCAGTTTTAGATCATCTTTAGTTCTGTTCTAGTTTTGTTCTAGTTCTGCTCTAATTCTGTTCTAATTCTGTTCTAATTCTGTTGTAGTTCTGTTCTAATTCTGTTTTGTTCTAGTTCAGTTCCAGTTTATTTCTAATTCAGTTCTAGTTCAGTTCTAGTTCTGTTCTAGTTCTGTTCTAGTTCTGTTCTAGTTCTGTTCTAGTTATGTTCTAGTTCTGTTCTAGTTCTGTTCTAGTTCTGTTCTAGTTCTGTTCTAGTTCTGTTCTAGTTCTGTTCTAGTTCTGTTCTAGTTCTGTTCTAGTTCTGTTCTAGTTCTGTTCTAGTTCTGTTCTAGTTCAGTTTTAGTTCTGTTCTAATTCAGTTCTAGTTCTGTTCTAGTTCTGTTCTAGTTCTGTTCTAGTTCTGTTCTAGTTCTGTTCTAGTTCTGTTCTAGTTCTGTTCTAGTTCTGTTCTAGTTCTGTTCTAGTTCTGTTCTAGTTCAGTTCTAGTTCAGTTCTAGTTCAGTTCTAGTTCAGTTCTAGTTCAGTTCTAGTTCAGTTCTAGTTCAGTTCTAGTTCAGTTCTAGTTCAGTTCTAGTTCAGTTCTAGTTCAGTTCTAGTTCAGTTCTAGTTCAGTTCTAGTTCAGTTCTAGTTCAGTTCTAGTTCAGTTCTAGTTCAGTTCTAGTTCAGTTCTAGTTCAGTTCTAGTTCAGTTCTAGTTCAGTTCTAGTTCAGTTCTAGTTCAGTTCTAGTTCAGTTCTAGTTCAGTTCTAGTTCAGTTCTAGTTCAGTTCTAGTTCAGTTCTAGTTCAGTTCTAGTTCAGTTCTAGTTCAGTTCTAGTTCAGTTCTAGTTCAGTTCTAGTTCAGTTCTAGTTCAGTTCTAGTTCAGTTCTAGTTCAGTTCTAGTTCAGTTCTAGTTCAGTTCTAGTTCTAGTTCAGTTCTAGTTCAGTTCTAGTTCAGTTCTAGTTCAGTTCTAGTTCAGTTCTAGTTCAGTTCTAGTTCAGTTCTAGTTCAGTTCTAGTTCAGTTCTAGTTCAGTTCTAGTTCAGTTCTAGTGCAGTTCTAATTCAGTTCTAATTCTGTTCTATTACAGTTCTATTTCAGTTCTAGTTCGGTACTAGTTCAGTTTTAGTTCTGTTTAAGTTTATTTCTAGTTCCGTTTAAGTTCATTTCTAGTTCAAGTTAAATTTTGTTTCCGTTCTACAATTTTTCTTCAACTTTGAACTTTCATCTGTTTCTTAGGATTCCAAGAGATTCTCGAGAATTTATGTGCAGAAAATAAACCACGCAAATACCACATTAGAGTATTACTATAATCGATTTTTTTATTATACTAAAAAAATAAAGAGAACAAATACAATAAAAATTTCTAACATACGTAAGTAAAGCATACTTTTGGTTATTAGGAATTCCTATAAAACACTTGCATATTTATAGGGACATATTTAAAGAGGTTACTGAGAATAGTAAGAAAATAGAAAATAAGGAAGAAAACAAATATTCAACACTTGTTGCTGACATTTTATAGAAGTATAAGAAAAATAGTAATGGGACAGGAACTGAAGACAAAAGGGGAGTAATATTTCCTAATTTTTAGATCTTAATAAAAATTATCCTTTTCGTAATTTGTAATTTTGTGGTTGGTCTTGTAATTTTGCAACTTTTTTTATACAACAACTACAATAATAATCAAAATTGTTACTTTTGAAGCATTGCGAGGGTAGTCAAAAGAGGTGTTAGACAAATAGAGAACCATTTTGTTGATTTGTTTTTAAGAGCGAATATACTTTGTTTATCTTATAAGTTTAATCTTTATATAGTTTTGGTATTTAATGAGATTTTATTAACAAGGTACTTGACTATAACAGTTTTAGTTCAGTTCTAATCGGTGACATATTACTTTGTAATCATTGTTACACTATTAATTAGAGGTTGAAGTACTCGTTAAATTAAGTATGTCGTAATGATTACACAAGTGCTTAGAGATTGATTATAATGTTTATAGAGATTATAAGGATTAGGAGTATAAATACAATCTTACAGCTACGGAGACGGAATTGTTTTATATTGAGTTTTGATAACTTAAATCTTAAAAGAAATCCGCACAAAATTAAAATGTATTTTAATTTGTTTACGAATTTTCTCTCATTTGCATTTAGAGTTGCCGTGCCATTCATATTTTCTATGAGCAAAAAAAATGTTTAACATTTTTCTGTGAATGCCAAGAAAGAAGAACGGAAAATAAACTATGAGATACAAAAACAAATTATTATAATAAAAATAAAATTGCTAAAAATCCGCAACTACAGCGGCATTCTATTTAATTAGTATTTTCTTTTGGAACCAGAAAACACATCCGCCTCCGCAAGTTTGTATTTCTGATAGAATTCCTAATCTTTTGGAAATCAATAGAAATTTTATTAAAAAAATGTATTTTTAAAGTTTAATGAGCTTAAACTTATTTAAAATTTCTTCCTTATTATAATCTTTGTATTTGCAACTTTATGCATGATTTTATTCTGCAAATATTTCAAATTTATAAAAAAAAGCATATCTGATTGATAGACACGTGTTAGATTATATATGTACATCAAATAAAATAGAAAACTACGTAACACATTTTATCAATGACAATTTCAATAAAAGGAAATAAAAAGATTTGTGTGATAACTTTAACGTATATTTGTATGACTAATTTGCGAAATAAGTTAACTTCAAAGACTCAGCAATTATTGGAAATAGTTAGGAAAAGATTACATTCTATTTGTTATTTAATACACTTTATAATTTATCATAGTATTAAAGTATAAAAAAATAAAAAGTATGGTATAAGTACCATTTTATAAAGATCAGATTTTGGAATTGTTCTGCAACTTGATTCGAAAGTAAAAAATAATAAAATAATTCTTTTGAATCGTCTGTCATATGGTGTAACCTCTAAGGGTTCAATGTTCCTTTACTATAAACATTCATCGCTTTAATATAAATCGAATTTAAAATAACAAGAATTCTAAATCATTTGTATTCTATTCAATTCTAATGTCAAAAAGTGGAGTTAGCCATTTTGTTACATTAACCCTTCCTATACAAATACATATTTATTCAAAAAAATTCCACTCAAATACTCAATAGATTACACATGTACAAGGAGAATTTAAAAGAATATTTTTACAAAAAAAGGAAAATTTTTAAAATTCCTAGAATTAGTTAACAAAAAACTATAATCAACACAATGCAAAATTTCACACAAAAGTACACATAAAAGAAAATAATACAAATACATGTAAATATGTAATTAAATTAAATATTTATGCTTATACAAAAGGATTAAAGATTTATCCCCAATGTTCATAATAAATTGATTAAAGTTTTACAAAACAAACAGAAAAGAATCCAAAAGAAATTTTGATAAATTGTTATAAAAAATTCCTTAGTATTTTATTAAGTACTTTTTAATGGGATTTGAATTGAAATTTTATGCACAAGAGACGAAGTCAATTATTTTTATCTTAACAAAGTCGATAAATCGATTATCTTGTAAGAAATTCGGATTCGGTATTAGATCATTTAGGGTAAATATATAGCAGACGAATTAGGTAGTCAATAGTCTAGTCTATAGTCTAGTCTATAGTCAAGTCTATAGTCTAGTCCATAGTCTAGTCCATAGTCTAGTCTATGGTCTAGTCTATAGTCTAGTCTATAGTCTAGTCTATAGTCTAGTCTATAGTCTAGTCTACAGTCTAGTCTATAGTCTAGTCTATAGCCTAGTCTATAGTCTAATCTATAGTCTAGTCTATAGTCTAGTCTATAGTCTAATCTATAGTCTACTCTATAGTCTACTCTATAGTCTACTCTATAGTCTACTCTATAGTCTACTCTATAGTCTACTCTATAGTCTACTCTATAGTCTACTCTATAGTCTACTCTATAGTCTACTCTATAGTCTAGTCTGTAGTCAGTCTAGTCTATAGACTAGTCTATAGTCTAGTCTATAGTCTAGTCTATAGACTAGTCTATAGTCTAGTCTATAGTCTAGTCTATAGTCTAGTCTATAGACTAGTCTATAGTCTAGTCTATAGTCTAGTCTATAGTCTAGTCTATAGACTAGTCTATAGTCTAGTCTATAGTCTAGTCTATAGTCTAGTCTATAGTCTAGTCTATAGTCTAGTCTATAGTCTAGTCTATAGTCTAGTCTATAGTCTAGTCTATAGTCTAGTCTATAGTCTAGTCTATAGTCTAGTCTATAGTCTAGTCTATAGTCTAGTCTATAGTCTAGTCTATAGTCTAGTCTATAGTCTAGTCTATAGTCTAGTCTATAGTCTTGTCTATAGTCTAGTCTATAGTCTAGTCTATAGTCTAGTCTATAGTCTAGTCTATAGTCTAGTCTATAGTCTAGTCTATAGTCTAGTCTATAGTCTAGTCTATAGTCTAGTCTATAGTCTAGTCTATAGTCTAGTCTATAGTCTAGTCTATAGTCTAGTCTATAGTCTAGTCTATAGTCTAGTCTATAGTCTAGTCTGTAGTCTAGTCTATAGTCTAGTCTATAGTCTAGTCTATAGTCTAGTCTATAGTCTAGTCTATAGTCTAGTCTATAGTCTAGTCTATAGTCTAGTCTATAGTCTAGTCTATAGTCTATATAGTCTAGTCTATAGTCTAGTCTATAGTCTAGTCTATAGTCTAGTCTATAGTCTAGTCTATAGTCTAGTCTATAGTCTAGTCTATAGTCTAGTCTAGTATCGTCTATAGTCTAGTCTATAGTCTAGTCTATAGTCTAGTCTATAGTCTAGTCTATAGTCTAGTCTATAGTCTAGTCTATAGTCTAGTCTATAGTCTAGTCTATAGTCTAGTCTATAGTCTAGTCTATAGTCTAGTCTATAGTCTAGTCTATAGTCTAGTCTATAGTCTAGTCTATAGTCTAGTCTATAGTCTAGTCTATAGTCTAGTCTATAGTCTAGTCTATAGTATAGTCTATAGTCTAGTCTATAGTCTAGTCTATAGTCTAGTCTATAGTCTAGTCTATAGTCTAGTCTCTAGTCTAGTCTATAGTCTAGTCTATAGTCTAGTCTATAGTCTAGTCTATAGTCTTGTCTATAGTCTAGTCTATAGTCTAGTCTATAGTCTAGTCTATAGTCTAGTCTATAGTCTAGTCTATAGTCTAGTCTATAGTCTAGTCTATAGTCTAGTCTATAGTCTAGTCTATAGTCTAGTCTATAGTCTAGTCTATAGTCTAGTCTATAGTCTAGTCTATAGTCTAGTCTATAGTCTAGTCTATAATCTAGTCTATAGTCTAGTCTATAGTCTAGTCTATAGTCTAGTCTATAGTCTAGTCTATAGTCTAGTCTATAGTCTAGTCTATAGTCTAGTCTATAGTCTAGTCTATAGTCTAGTCTATAGTCTAGTCTATAGTCTAGTCTATAGTCTAGTCTATAGTCTAGTCTATAGTCTCGTCTATAGTCTAGTCTATAGTCTAGTCTATAGTCTAGTCTATAGTCTAGTCTATAGTCTAGTCTATAGTCTAGTCTATAGTCTAGTCTATAGTCTAGTCTATAGTCTAGGTCTATAGTCTAGTCTATAGTCTAGTCTATAGTCTAGTCTATAGTCTAGTCTATAGTCTAGTCTATAGTTCTAGTCTATAGTCTAGTCTATAGTCTAGTCTATAGTCTAGTCTATAGTCTAGTCTATAGTCTAGTCTATAGTCTAGTCTATAGTCTAGTCTATAGGTCTAGTCTATAGTCTAGTCTATAGTCTAGTCTATAGTCTAGTCTATATGGCTAGCTAGTCTATGTCTAGTCATAGTCTAGTCTATAGTCTTAGTCTATAGTCTAGTCTATAGTCTAGTCTATAGTCTAGTCTATAGTCTAGTCTATAGTCTAGGTCTATAGTCTAGTTCTATAGTCTAGTCTATAGTCTAGTCTATAGTCTAGTCTATAGTCTAGTCTATAGTCTAGTCTATAGTCTAGTCTATAGTCTAGTCTATAGTCTAGTCTATAGTCTAGTCTATAGTCTAGTCTATAGTCTAGTCTATAGTCTAGTCTATAGTCTAGTCTATAGTCTAGTCTATAGTCTAGTCTATAGTCTAGTCTATAGTCTAGTCTATAGTCTAGTCTATAGTCTAGTCTATAGTCTAGTCTATAGTCTAGTCTAGTCTATAGTCTAGTCTTAGTCTAGTCTATAGTCTAGTCTATAGTCTAGTCTATAGTCTAGTCTATAGTTTAGTTTATTGTCTAGTCTATAGTAAAGTATACAGTCTATGCAATAGTCTAGTATCGAGTCAATAGTCAAGTCTATAGTCTGGTTTATAATCTATAGTCTAGTCTATAGTCTAGTCTATAGTCTAGTCTGTAGTCTAGTTTATAGTCTAGTCTATAGTCTAGTCTGTAGTCTAGTCTGTAGTCTAGTCTATAGTTTAGTCTATAGTCTAGTCTATAGTTTAGTTTATTGTCTAGTCTATAGTAAATTATACAGTCTAGTCTATAGTCTAGTCTATGCAATAGTCTAGTATCTAGTCAATAGTCAAGTCTATAGTCTGGTTTATAATCTATGTCTAGTCTATAGTCTGGTCTTTGACGTTTTCTAGCGGCTTTTGCAAAAACTAAATATGACATATTCTAGTGGTTTTTGCAATGTAATTTAACGGGAAAATTGCCAAAACTGATTATAAGACACATGTTCAGACTGGACTATTTGAGAATAGTTCAACTCAGATGGTCTAAAGAGATAATTTGTTCTATAAACCTTTGATAAGTGATCATTAATAAGACACTTCAAATATAATATAAAAATATAAGATATTTTGAAAAAAAATGGAATTAAAATTTGTTGAAAAATCGAAATCCAATTTAATATTTTAATGCAAAAATATACAATGAAAAACAATAAACATTTGTATTTACATAAAAAAATTTTGTTAATATAACCAATTTTCCTGTGGTACTAAAACAGAGGATTTACAATATTGGGATCATATTTACATATTTTTACATTAATTCACCTGTTTACAGAGAACACTTGACAAACGTGGAAAATACATTTGTACTTTTAGTATAAACAAAAACAAGAAAAAAACAACTAAAACATTTGAACAATAAGAAACAAACAATACAAAATAAAATAAAAAACGAACATATAAACAGACACAGGACAAGGACACGAACAAAACAACAATGATAAATAATGAAAATATTCTCATATAATATTAATATCAAGCAATTGCTGCAAAAATGTCATAACTCAAAAAAGTTAAAAAAAAACTAAAACATATCAAAAGGTTAAATTTAACGTTCAGTAAATGGAACAAATTTAAAATGACAGTGATTTAATTTTTCGATTTCACAAAAGTTATGACATTATTTGCAGGAAATGTGCGATATATCATAATAAATATTTGTCATAATATTATACAGTAATGTGTAGATATTGAAAAAGTACTTACGGTTGTTTGTGTATAACTTCTCCGACATATCTACAGTTGAAATAATTACAGATGATGCGTTTTTATTTGATTGTTTTAAACACACACAGACAAATTTGTTTTTATGTTTTGATGGAAGGATATAAGCGATGAAAAATAGCATGACATTTTCAAGGATAAAGTAATGTATTTTCAAAAAGAGAGAGAGAGAGAGAGAAAAAAAGAAACACAAAAATACATACATATATATATAATTTACCAAAAAATAAGACTACATTCTTACTAAAATTATTACTTCGTAAAAAAATGCTAAAAACTAAAAACTTACTGTACAGGTGAAGCACTGGGTTGTGGAGCAGGTCGTTGGCCAGCTTCTGGATTTGCCTGGGGACCGGTGACAGGACGATATTCCAAGAGATTATAGGTTTTCCAAAATAAAAATTCCCGATAGTATTTAAGGCCCTCATACAAAACAGCCATTATGAAAATGGCCAACATGGAACCCAACAAACCACCAACACTATCTATTTTCCACCATTCAAATAAAATTGTTTCATTGCAACCAAAATGGAACTGAAAAAACAAAACAAAACAAAATTGTAAAACTATTGCATTTTTACAACACAACCAAATATACTTACCGCCATCGACATGGCATGATGCAACATACTCTCACCACCACTAGCGGCGGCAGCATGATGATGATGTACACTGTTTACATCATGATGTATGTGTACATTGGCGGGCATTTCTGTTGTGGTTGTGGTAGTCGACATTATAGCAGAATGATCCATTGTGGCATGATCATGCATTGAATGATGCATTGAGTGATCGGCTACAATAATTGGTATTTTTTTAAAACAAATAAAAATTATTAAAATAAAAATATAAAACCTAGAACAAGTCTGCAATGGGAATGAGAGAATGGGATATACATATAGATGTGAAACCAAAGTTGAATTTAAAAAGTAAATAATGTGTTTTTGTATTAAAAATATGTATATGATCAATAGTTTATGAAGTAATTTATGGATTAAGGCTATTGACTGACTAAGTCTGGACTATAAAGTAGTCTATAGTCTGGACTATAGTCTGTACTATAGGCTGGACTATAGTCTGGACTATAGGCTGGACTATAGTCTGGATTATAGTCTGGACTATAGAGTAGACTATAGTCTGGACTATAGAGTAGACTATAGTCTGGGCTATAGAGTAGACTATAGTCTGGACTATAGAGTAGAATATAGTCTGGACTATAGAGTAGACTATAGTCTGGACTATAGAGTAGACTATAGTCTGGACTATAGAGTAGACTATAGTCTGGACTATAGAGTAGACTATAGTCTGGACTATAGAGTAGACTATAGTCTGGACTATAGAGTAGACTATAGTCTGGACTATAGAGGAGACTATAGAGGAGACTATTGTCTGGACTATAGAGGAGACTACATATATTCTGGAATATAGAGGAGACTATAGTCTGGACTATAGAGTAGACTATAGTGTGGACTATAGAGTAGACTATAGAGTGGACTATAGAGTTGACTATAGTCTGGACCATAGAGTAAACTATAGTCTGGACTATAAAGTAAACTACGGTTTGGACAATAGAGTAGACTAAAGTCTAGACTATAAACGAGATTATATTTTGGACTACAGAGTAGACTATAATCTGTACTATAGAGAATACTATAGTCTGGACTATAAATTAACTATGGTTTAGACTATATAGTAGACTAAAGTCTGGAGTATAAAAGAGACTATAGTCTGGACTATAAAGTAAACTATAGTCTGCACTATAGAGTACACTATAGTCTGGACTATAGAGCAGACTATAGAGTAGACTATAGTCCGAACTATAAAGTAAACTATAGTCTGGACTATATAGAGTATACTATAATCTGGACAATAAAGTAATCTATGATTTAAAACTAGACTAAAATCGATATTATCGTCTGGACTATAGAGTAGATTATAGTCTGGACTATAGAGTAGACTGTAGTCTGGACTACAGAGTAGACTATAGTCTGGACTATAGAGTAGATTATAGTCTGGACTATAGAGTAGACTATAGTCTGGACTTTAGAGTAGACTATAGTCTTGACTAGAGAGTAGACTAAAGTCTGGAATAACGATTAGACTATAGTCTGAACTATAGAGTAAACTATAGTCTGGACTATATAGAGTATACTCTAATCTGGACAATGAAGTAATCTATGGTTTGGACTATAGAGTAGACTAAAGAAAAGACTAAAAACGAGAATATAGTCTGGACTATAGAGTAGACTATAGTCTGGATTATAGAGTACACTATAGTCCGGACTATAGATTAGACTATAGTCTGGATTATAGAGTAGACTATAATCTGGATTACAGAGTAGACTGTAGTCTGGACTATAGAGTCCGAACTATAGAGTAGACTATAGTTTGGAGTAGAGTAGACCATAGAGAAGATTATAGTCTGGACTATAAGGTAGACTATAGTATGGACTATAGAATAGACTATATTCCAGTGTATAGTTTCGACTATGAACTAGGCCATAGTCACGACTATAGTATCGAGTATAGTCTATACTGTAGTCTCGACTATAGACTAGACTTTAGATAAGATTATAGTCTTTAATGACTAGTATGTTGGCTAGTCTAATGACTGGTCTAAAGAATAGTTCAGTGAGTAGTATATTGACAAGTGTATGATATAATCTATGAACTATATACTTAAAGTCTAATCTATTGACTTATTTAGAGACTTGCGCATATATTAGATCATCGACTAGTCTATTCATTACAGAGTATTACAGAGTAGACTGTAGTCTGGACTATAGAGTCCGAACTATAGAGTAGACTATAGTTTGGAGTAGAGTAGACCATAGAGAAGATTATAGTCTGGACTATAAGGTAGACTATAGTATGGACTATAGAATAGACTATATTCCAGTGTATAGTCTCGACTATGAACTAGGCTATAGTCACGACTATAGACTATACTATAGTATCGACTATAGTCTATACTGTAGTCTCGACTATAGACTAGACTTTAGATAAGATTATTTTATTTAATGACTAGTATATTGGCTAGTCTAATGACTGGTCTAAAGAATAGTTCAGTGAGTAGTATATTGACAAGTGTGTGATATAATCTATGAACTATATACTTAAAGTCTAATCCATTGACTTATTTATAGACTTGCGTATATATTAGATCATCGACTAGTCTATTCACTGATCTATTTATTAACTAGTCTATTGAGTAGCCTATGGACTGGTCTATTAACTAGTCTAAAGGCTTTTCTAATCTATTGATAAGGCTATTAAGCTAATGAATAGTCTAAAGCCTAGTCTATTGATTAGTCTAATGTCCAGCCTAATAACTAGTCTGTGATTAATATATTGTCTGATCTCTTGACTAATCTATAGCATCGTCTATTGGCTAGTCTATTGATTAGATCCTAACTTATATATAAACGGTTAAATACTTTAAAGTTTTAAATTCAACAATCGTATTACAAATATATTTTAAAAAGAAATTAATATTAATAAATCATTAATTCATAAGAATAATCCTTACCATGATTTTCCAGTGTATGTTGTGAATGATCCATCATTTAATAAAAATAGGAAAACGTAAGTTTAATTATGTGCAGCAGTTAAAAAATAAAATCTGAAAGAAAAATTAAGAAAATAATATTGATTATTTGTTAAATGTTAAACGTTTATTATTATTGTAATAACATTTTTACTGATATTTAAGTGTTGCATTTTAAATAAGTTTTATATTAATTCTGAATATACTGCAGATTTTAAATTTTAATACGCAGTATTATATAATTAATGAAATCAATTGTGCGTAAGAATAATATAAAATATAAATTAAAATTCATGTATGTACATAATTTTAAAGAAAAAACAAAAACAGTAGTGAAGATTTACATACATATTACTTAATACAACAAAAACTTAACATTTATTTTTGAAAAAATAAACAAACATTAAGTTTATTTTCATGTACAGTAGAGAAAAATTTAATAGCAATATTTTATACATTTTCTAGAAATTTTGGGGATTTTGAAAAGCTTCAACTGTTTCGCTAGAGCCTATTGCGCTTTTAACATACGGATTAGTATACCGCCTCCCATTTTAGGAGGTGTCAAGACTGTAGAGTAGACTACAGCCTGGACTTTAGAGTAGGCTATCGTATAGACTTAAGTGTAGACAGTCTGGACAATAGAGTAAACCATAGTCTGGACTATATAGAAGGCTGTGGTCTGGACTATGGATAAACTAGTGTTTGGACTATAGTCTGGACTATAGAGAAGACTATAGTCTGGAATATATAATATACTATTGTCTGGACTATAGAGTAGACTATAGTCTGGACTATAAAGTAGACTATAGACTATAGATTGCACTATAGAGTAGACTATAGTATGGACTATAGTCTGGACTATAGAGTAGGCTATAGTTTGGACTATAGAGTAGACTATAGTCTGGACTATAAAGTAGACTGTAGTCTGGAATATAAAGTAGACTATAGTCTGGACTATAGAGTAGACTACAGTCTGGACTATAAAGTAGACCGTAGTCTGGAATATAAAGTAGACTATAATCTGGACTATAGAGTAGACTATAGACTGGACTATAGAGTAGACTATAGAGTAGACTATAGAGTAGACTATAGAGTAGACTATAGAGTAGACTATAGAGTAGACTATAGAGTAGACTATAGAGTAGACTATAGAGTAGTCAATAGTCTGGACTATAGAGTAGACTATAGTATGGACTATAGTCTGGACTATAGAGTAGACTACAGTCTGGACTATAGAGTAGACTATAGTCTGGACTATAGAGTAGACTATAGTCTGGAATATAGAGTAGACTATAGCCTGGACTATAGAGTAGTCAATAGTCTGGACTATAGAGTAGACTATAGTATGGACTATAGAGTAGACTATAGTATGGACTATAGTCTGGACTATAGAGTAGGCTACAGTCTGGACTATAGAGTAGACTATAGTCTGGACTATAGAGTAGACTATAGTCTGGACTATAGAGTAGACTATAGTCTGGAATATAGAGTAGTCTATAGTCTGGACTATAGAATAGACTATAGTCTGGACTATAAAGTAGACTATAGTCTGGACTATAGAGTAGACTATAGCCTGGATTATAGAGTAGTCAATAGTCTGGACTATAGAGTAGACTATAGTATGGACTATAGTCTGGACTATAGAGTAGACTACAGTCTGGACTATAGAGTAGACTATAGTCTGGACTATAGAGTAGACTATAGTCTGGAATATAGAGTAGTCTATAGTCTGGACTATAGAATAGACTATAGTCTGGACTATAAAGTAGACTATAGTCTGGACTATAGAGTAGACTATAGTCTGGACTATAGAGTAGATTATAGTCTGGACTAAAGAGTAGACTATAGTCTGGACTATAGAGTAGACTATAGTCTGGACTATAATGTAGACTATAGAGTAGACTATAGTCTGGACTATTCAACAGTTTATTATTCACTCTTTTCTCTTTTGCTTTCTTTAATAAAATACTGATATTTTTATTACCATTACTGTAGCAAAATTGACTGCAACACAATGTTAACGTTTCACTAATATAAGTTTGAAATTTATGCTTAAAAACACAGTTGCAAGAGAGTAGCTCTAGATTCTAATTAAAACAAATAAACTACAAAAAATAACATGTACTTGTTGTGCATTATATTATAATACAAATCTGATTAAAACGGATATTTTAGCTCAAAAGAAAAAAAGACTTAAGGAAAACTTTTTCTCAGCGTCTACGAACAAAAAGTTTTTATAAATTAAAAACTTTTAAAAGCATAGAGGAAAACATATGCATGTAGAGCGGAAGCTTTGTTGTCAAATACTTAAGATTGCTGTCAAAAATCTAATAGTGGTTTAAGAGTTTACGAAAGTTTATGAACAATTTTTATAACGAAACCTTTGTTGTTAAGATAATAAGAAAAATTATAATTGATCTTTGATTCTCTTTTCGCCTTTATTAACATCAGCCAACCTTTTTACAAACAGCTTGGCAACACTGTTTACTATCATGGCCTCTATAGCGACCAAGTCATTTAAAACTCCTAAATGTTTTTAATTGGTCTGCAACAATTCTTATCACAATATCCCCTACGCAACATATCCCCTACGCTTCATAAAACATTATTTTTCTATTATTTATTATGCCTTAATGGTTATTTTACCCAACACCCTCTAATATTTTGCAGAGTAGGTATTTTTATTTTTTTTAGATTTCCAACAAACCAAGTTCAATGTAGTGACATTGTCTGCTGCATGTTTGCGGTTCGGAAACCTTGTACACATCCTACATTAACAAAGAATAAACAAGACATTTCAAACAATTTTCAAATAAAAAAAGGAAACCTCTTTCTATCATGTTCACCAGCATAGTTACACACATTTTGTAGAGTTTAGCCGAATAATTCGGTTTCGGTTTAGGGGGAAAATCTAAATTTGAAATATATTTAAGGAAATTTGGCAGAACACCGAAGCTTTATAAGATTACTCTTATAGTAGTCTAGTAGTAATATGGACTATAGTCTACTCTAAAGTTCAGAATATAGTCCACACTATTGTCTACTCTATAGTCCAGGCTTTAGTCTATACTATAGCCCAGATCAGATTATATTCTACTCTAGAGTCCAGACTACTACTCTATAGTCTGGACTATAGAGTAGAATGTAATCTGGTCTGAGCTATAGTCTACTCTATAGTCCAGACTATAGTCTACTCTATAGTCCAGACTATAGTCTACTCTAAAGTCCTGAATATAGTCCACGTTATTGTCTACTCTATAGTACAGGCTTTAGTCTACACTAAGCCCTGACCAGATATTTTACTCTATAGTCCGGACTACGGGCTACTCTATAGTCCAGACTATAGTCTACTCTAAAGTCCTGAATATAGTCCACGTTATTGTCTACTCTATATTACAGGCTTTAGTCTACACTAAGCCCTGACCAGATATTTTACTCTATAGTCCGGACTACAGGCTACTCTATAGTCCAGACTATAGTCTACTCTATAGTCCAGACTATAGTCTACTCTATAGTCCAGACTATAGTCTACTCTATAGTCCACACTATAGTCTACTCTATAGTCCAGACTATAGTCTACTCTAAAGCCCAGAATATAGTCCACACTATTGTCTACTCTATAGTCCAGGCTTAAGTCTACACTATAGCCCAGACCAGATTATATTTTACTCTATAGTCCAGACTATAGTCTACTCTATTGTCCAGACTCAAGTCTATTCTATAGTCCAGACTATAGTCTACTCTAGAGTCCAGATTATAGTTTTCTCTATAGTCAAGACTATAGTGTACTCCATAGTCTACTCTATAGTCCAGACTATAGTCTACTCTACAGTCCAGACTATAGTCTTCTCTATAGTCCAGACTGTAGCCTACTCTATAGTCCAGACTATAGTCTACTCTATAGTCCAGACTATAGTCTACTCTATAGTCCAGACTATAGTCTACTCTATAGTCCAGACTATAGTCTACTCTATAGTCCAGACTATAGTCTACTCTATAGTCCAGACTATAGTCTACTCTATAGTCCAGACTATAGTCTACTCTATAGTCCAGACTATAGTCTACTCTATAGTCCAGTCTATAGTCTACTCTAAAACCCAGAATATAGTCCACACTATTGTCTATTCTATAGTCCAGGCTTTAGTCTGCACTATAGCCCAGACCAGATAATATTCGACTTTATAGTCCAGACTACAGTCTACTCTATAGTTGAGAATATAGTCTACTTTGTAGTCCAGGCTAGAGTCTACTCTATAGTCCAGACTATAATCTACTCTATAGTACAGACTATAGTCTACTCTGTAGTCCAGACTATAGTCTACTTTATAGTCAGGACACTATAACCTTCACTATTGTCCACTGATTTATTGCTCCCTCTTTATTTGAAGTTAGTCCGAATATTACCTTCAATTCGCTATTATCCTCACAAACCTAGTTTCGGTCGTACTGTAGCATTTTGCATTTTTTTCCTAGAATTAAAACTAGTGGACAATTTATTGTTTAATAAAGTTGGCACAGAGGATTGCTTTAATTTCATGTGTAATGTTGTACGACACTAAAACCATTTTGGAGGAGAAACAAATAAATTTGGTTATAGAAAACAAACATTAAAATGGATAAAATATACCAGCGAATGATTTCAATGGTCGTTAACGAAAATATTTGGCGACATTTATGCTATTAGTTTAAAATGAAATACATAAAGGCAAACAGGAAACGAAATTCTAAAAGAGCACAAAAAAATATACCAATTTAACACAAGGTAGACAGATTGAATTTTACGACTATTATTAAATTGCTTTACAAAAAGAATATTTTAGAATTTGTATAAAATTAAATTCATTTAACTTTGTTGAAAACTTTTATTTCGACAAAACTGCCAAGTTTCAATGTCTGGTTATACAATCTCAAGGATGTGTAAAGTGCAAACATGACTAAAAGTGTTAAATAAATATCTGTGACGTTAAATGTATTTATATCCTTCACACAAAATCTACAACTAATCTTTGTCTATGGATATTAGCAAATTATGTAAATTTACCTGTAATCAATTATGTATGTATATAAGATTGTTT